TGTGGCATGGAGGCTGCACAGCTGCAGAAAGAAAAGCTTTGCAGAGAGTGGTGAAGGCTGCACAGAAGATGTTGGAATCAGTCTCCTCACCATCACAGACATCTACACCTCCAGATGCAGGAAGAGGACCACCTGCATCATGAAGGACCCCACCCACCCAGCACACACACTTTTTGCCCCACTCCCCTCAGGAAGGAGGTTAAGGAGCATTAAGTGTAGAACCACTAGACTGAGGAACAGCTTCTACCCTGAGGCTGTTAGACTCATGAATCTCTAACTAGAATAATCACTGTGAAAAACCATATCATGTTGCTGCTGATCTGTTTCATGTTGCTGCTGATCTGTTTCATGTTGCTGCTGATCTGTTTCAATGTTGATGTGTTCATGCGTGCTCATCTGCTCACAGACTCATGTTCATGTTTGTGCTGATGTTCAATGTTTTATGTTATGAGTGCTTAGTGTATATTTAGTTGATGTTTTTCTTAGTTCATATCTTAGATGTTATTACTGTTTTTCTTATACATTTTATTGTTGGATGTAACTGGGACCCTGTGAACATAATTTCACTCCACCACATGTACCACATGAGGTGTGAATGACAATAAAGAAACTCTGACTCTGACTCTGACTCTGACTCTGATCTCACGTCTTCAGCTCGTCCAGAATGCTGCTGCTCGGCTTTTAACCGGAACTCGTAGGTCTGAACATATTACACCAGTTCTGTCCTCCCTTCACTGGCTCCCTGTTCGTACGAGGATAGTTTTTAAAATTCTTCTGTTGACCTTCAAGTGCCTAAATGGTCTCGCAGCCCTTCACCTCTCTGAGCTTCTGGAACCTTACGTTCCCTCTCGGGCCCTGAGATCATCCGATCAGCTGCTTTTGGCTGTTCCAAAAACAAGAAGCTCAGAGGAGATCGGGCTTTTTCAGTCATGGGCCCCAAACTCTGGAACAACCTGCCCCCCAACATCAGGCAGACCACCTCCCTTCAACCTGCCCCCCCAACATCAGGCAGG